CATCCCTTTAAAACCTTTACACACTCTACGCAAACAGGATGAATCATCTTTGTGAGGATCTCGTTCCCGGGGGAATATATGATAAGAAACAGAATAACAACTCATTAAAATGTTAAATTAAATTTCTCAATAACGTAAATAACGTAATGGTTTTACATTTAACATGTACTCAATGCTATTAAGGGAACCTTATCAACAAGCACTTTATGTTCTACTGAATTAAATAAAAGCAGAGATAAGAAAATTGCAAATTCAGGAAAATAAAAAGTACGCCTAATATTGTTAATAGTCATAACATAAAATCCAAGATCGTAACAATTTACACTATTTATTACTGTGATTTTGATCTTTTGTTTTATATTTTCTATCCAACTAATATAATTCCGTATACTGATGGTCGAACAATGCTGCACTCAGCTTTTTGGTACATAAGTAGTGATAGTGCTATTAAAAATGTCAATCGATTGATTCAACCAATCTAAATTTACTTTAAATTTACTTTCCCAGAACGCTCGCAAGGCCATTTGTTTTCACTATTCGACTGTACAAAATGTTAATCGCTTTTTTGCTGATGCAATTGAAATGCCGATTGCGTTGCTCGGACATAGTTGCCATTATTCTATGTCGTGTGTCCGTCCGACTATAAATTATATTGATTTTGATTTGATTTCAGCTCAAAAACAAAAAACCTAAACAACTCAAAAACTAGACGACAGTTCAAGACACACAGTCAAAAGTCATAAACAATTACGAAAATGTAGCGCATTCAGCACGCAGCGCACTCGTTGTTTGTTTTAGTACATTTGTTTTACCTGTAATTGCATAGTTCGGAAGCTGGCAAAGACACAGTTAACGGTTAATCGCCGATGCTGTCATTAATTAGCCATAAAATACATTTTAGACTACAATTAGCCACATGGCAAAGCGGCGACCGACAAACACGGGGCTCTGACAGCGGACTTAGCCTGTCTGGCCCGGCTAATTAGTTCTCGGGCAAACAAAATAAAAGCAAATGTGACACCAAACGAACATAAAACAAACAGAGATACATTCTCAGCGAAATAGAGACCTCACTAACATTTATTTGCCAATTTCTGACAGCCTTGCCAAAAGTAAAAACCAAGCCAACAACTTGTTCAAACAGACAAAATGCGAATACGCAGCTTAAAATTATTATCTCCCAACAGACCAAGTGTCAACAAAGTGAAACAAGGCAAATAATTAGTGCAGCCAAAGCACACACATACATCACTCTTTTATTATTTGTTGTCTTTTTCAGGCACTTTTAGTTAAAGATATAGATACTACAAAATATTTTGGGGAGGGGGATGCTTGCGTTGAGGTTTATAATTGTTTCAATGTTCACGACCTTTACAACATTATTCAACGTATCATGGTTATGAAAACACAGCCACCCTTTAAGATCATTTAAAAAGTCACACTACACACCCCTTTGATTACTAACCTACCCCAGTTTTAAACGTTTTATATCAGACCTTTGGAGACCTCGTTCTTCTATTAAATTAAGCTAGGCACTCTCAACTCAATGATTAGATTAAATTTAATCGTAAGCGATATTAAATACTAGCATTATGATAGCTATAACTATCAGTCTAGATAATACTTTTTTAATTATGAGGAATATTTTTTAAAAAGATTTAATTATTTGTAAAACTTAAATAAATCATCAATTTATTAATATTAAATTTAATATCATAAAAAAACCCACAGAAAATACAAATCAAGAACATTTAGTTCAAAAGTTAAAACACATGAATGTATCACATAAAATCGTAAAAACCCAGTAAATAAATTTACCCAGGAATGAGTCAAATGACAACGAACTACTTTTAATAATCCCAGGAACTGAATCACCCCAACATAGGATAAACACCATGTGAACTGCGAAGAAATTTGCAACTGGACGTGAGAAGGCGTTACGGTGCTATAAATAGACCCAAAATGGGGTGGTGGGACGGTTTTTGGCGAATTGTGGCCGCGTTCCGCAAATACTCGTACTCGTACATCGTATACGTAATTGCCTGGTTCAATGAGAAACGCCCAATTAGTTGGGATTTTTTGTCTCAGCTTGGCAGGCCTGGCTTGCAAACTCGGCTCTAAGCCGCGTTCGGTGGAAAGTGGTCAACACTGCAGCAGATATAACAACAACACTCGACGCAACAATAGCCGAATAGACGACGTTGATTTATCTCTCTTTTAAGTTCTCCGTATCAAGCTGTCAACGCTTTATTTCAGCTCCAGACGCGCTGGGAGTTGCACGCCTGCAGCTCACCCCAAAGTCAGAAAACCGCAGCGGAAAAATCGTTTAAAAATCAAGCTGCAATTAATCGAAACAAATAAATAAAGCGAGCAACAAATCATTAGCACCGAAATCACGTTTTTGGGAATACTGAATATCGGTTCTTCCGCATTTGTTTCGATCGGTATAAAAGGAACACAGTCTCAGAATGATATTCGGTCGCTGGACGCGTAAGCAAATACTCACGATGTTCGGTTTGGGAGCCGCCCTTCTGGGCCTGGTTATTGTGATCGGTATCCTCAACAGCGGCGTGTCCTCGAAGGAGCTCGACTGGAAGAAAGCGGCCAGGTCCAAGTGCTTTAAGACCAGTCCCAATACCACACACTCCACGCTGGAGTTGGTGCACATAGTGTTCAGGCACGGTATTCGCACCCCCGTAGACACATATCCCAACGATCCTTACCTGAAAGACAGCTTCGAGCCAACGGGCTGGGGCCATGTGACCAATGTGAGTGAACAAAAATAAATAAAAAAATATTTAGTTATGAAAGTTAATAAACTTAAAAAAGGATTAAAATGAAAAATCCGTGTCGAAGAATTCTAAAAAGTTAAAATAAGTGTATAAAACATTGTTTTTTATAATTTAAAATGTTTGGTTTTACATTTTAAAATGCTTTCACAACAAAAGTAGTGTATGTATTATACATTTCACATACTTTATCACAAAAGAATATGTTTAAGTTTTTAGTGACTTTATAAGAACTTGAGTTTATTAGCCTCGCCGTTTGGGTTATATTGTGCTTAAAAGTTCTTAAAAGCTTGAAATCTAAAACCTTTAAGCGAAATCAGTTCAGTTAAAAGCGTTTTGAAATTTAAGAAATGGTGTATAATAACATTTGTTCCTTATTTCCAGTCGGGAAAACGAGAGCTCTTCGAGATGGGCCGTTGGCTGCATCGACGCTACGGAGACTTCATGGGTCCCTATTACAGACCGGAAGTATGTTCATTCAATATTAAGCAAGCCCCTATTTAAGTAATTCAATTTACGCAGCGCCTGCATGCCCAAGCCACCGCCTCGCCGAGGGCAATGATGTCCTTGCAAACAACACTGGCCAGCATGTTTGAGCCACGGGGAACCCCCATGGAGTGGAATAAGCACCTCAACTGGCAGCCCATCCCAATCGTATCGGAGCCCTTGGATGAGGACTCGGTGGGTTTTAACATCTCAGTCCTTAATAGCTTAATTTAAATGTGTGCTTCAGCTCCTGCTGGTTCGCACACCCTGCCCTCGTTATTTCGAGGCCCTCGAGGAGGTTTTCAAGAGGCCCGAAGTCATCGCCGAAACCAAACCCTACGAGCAAATGTTTCGCGAGCTGACAAACCTCACGGGAAAGTCGATCCAGAGTGCCGAGGATATCAACTCCCTGTACATAACTCTCCTGGCTGAACGGGAATTCGGCTACAAGCTGCCCGACTGGTCCAAGGACTATTTTCCCGATCGCATGCAGTTTCTGGCCGAGCAGAGTTACGTCTATAATGCGTACACTCCCGAGATGCAGAAGATCAAGGGTGGACCTTTCCTGAAGAGAATGTACAAGGAGATGGTGGCCAAGAGTACGGGCAGCCTGAAGCCCAAGGATAGAGGAATGTACATATATGCTGGTCACGACTGGACCGTGGGCAACATCCTTATGGCCTTGGGTGTGTGGAAGCGCCAGATGCCCCGGTTCGCTGTGATGGCCATATTCGAGACGCATAGGGATAAGGAAACCGGTGAATACTATGTGGAGGTAAGAAACTCAATAGGCTTGCGGAATGTGATAAAAGTGCCCGGTTCTCATCATTATTTAAGGTTTCAAATGAATGTGAAGCTTAGTACAATTGTTGTCATTAATATAATTTTTAATGGGAAATCTAAAAGTTGGACTACAACTTGAGGTCCAACAAAGAATGTATAACGATTGCCGAGGGAAGAATTTCTTTCGTTTTATGTTTTAAAGCATTTTAGGTGAGAAAACAAAGCCAACCTACTAATTTCTTAGAATTAACTTGATCGTCTGACCGTAGGTTAACTTAACAATTTAACTAACTGTTGTTAGAGAGAACTTAGGGAGTAAAGAGGCGGTTCTTTAGATATTTAAGAACGTTTTAAGCGGATTCGTCATCATTTCAATACATTTTGTATAAGGATTTATGTACAATGTACATTGTACATATATAGAAGAGCTCTTTAGATCCTATAAATTAATATCTTGACTCCTAATTGCAGATCTTCCTCCGCAACGACGAGCACGGCTGCCTGGAGCAGCTCCAGCTGAAAGACTGCGATCTTCGGTGCCCCCTGAGTCGCCTCATCGAACTGAGTGAAGACGCCTTGCCCAACGAGCCGGCGGAGCGGAGATGCCGACCTCATGACGACAGTTTCGTGGAGCCACCACCGCGTATAATCGATCAGAATGGCCGTTAGCGAAAAGAAATTGCCAAAGCGGAGTTTGTGCACTCAGTATTACAATAGCGATCGAATGAGAGAAGTGCAAAAAATAAAATAGCAAATACAGTACAATAAAAATCCCCAAAAGTAAAGGTTATTGAGTTAATTTTTGGTGGAAATCATTTTCGTGCGAAACTAATTGTAGTTGCTATTGTGCCGAATGAGCAGCTCGGTCTTATCTATGAGTGTGCGAGTACCGGCATGAGTATGGGTGACCACATAATCGAGACTTAAAAGCAGTCCGCAGTTCTATTGATGCATTCACTCAACGCACAAGCCCCAGAGAAGCCGGTCCACTTAGTTCCTAACGATCCGCTAAATTTAACTCGCGAAAATGATGAAGTACCTCGGTCTGCTGCTCATTGCGAGCTGTGTGTTAATTGTGCGCGGAGGTGTTATCGAGATAGAAGTTCCTCAGGAGATCACTGAGGGCCCTGAGAATGAGTCTAAAAACTCAGTGGAAGCAGAGCCACCAAACAACAGTGAAAACAACTCAACTCTGAAGCTGGTTCACGTGGTAAATAAGTGACAACTACAAAGAAATCAAATATTTCCCCCAAAAAAGTGTGATTGGAAAAAATTGGCGAACGCCGAATTAGGGCTTGTTAACTTAGCAAGTCAACAGACCGTAAAATTACACAAAATATGTCAAACATATTTAATTTGAACTATTAACTCGGGGTGACAAATGTTAAAATAGTGCCAAAAATAAGTGCTCTCTTAGGTAAACCATAATTTAGCTGGACTTTCCAACGAGAACTCGTTTAAGTTCTCTTTAAAATTAAATCAATCGCAACCGTTCTTAAGCAAGTTTGCAGTATTCGTTACGTATACTTAATATTGCACAAAAGTTCCAAGACTGGAAACCGGTTTAATCGAACTTAAACTTCACTTTATGTGAATAATTTGATATTCCCAGTTTAATTTGCATAATTAAAGCTCAATTTGAATTAAATAAGTAAGAGAAATCAAATCCAGGTGTATAAATATTTATATATTGAAATCAACGTTTGCACGAGCTTGATTAAACCCAAAGTACGAATTACTTGTTTTAATGCTCGGTTGAGACCAACAGAAATATGATAATTTTATGAGAAACTTATGAGAAACTTGTTGTAATTGCTTGCAAACCAAGTATATAGGCCCTTTTCCTTGCCTTTATTGTATGAGAAGTAGGTTGATAAGATTAAGCTCACTCAGCTCTAAAATTATGAATTTACTTAATTCATTTATTGAAAAAAAACATTTAATACAGCAATGTTTGTAGTTACCAAATATTAATTTTGTTTTAATTTTCGACAGCTATTCCGCCATGGGCCCCGAACACCCGTCACCACCTATCCCACAGATCCGTATATCAACGAAACCTTCATGCCCTACGGATGGGGCGCGCTCACGAATGTTAGTACTCATCAAATATAAACACGATTATCCAAATTAAAGTGCAATTTTAATTTGACAGGGTGCTAAAGTGGAGCTGTATAAAATAGGCAAACAACTGCGTCGACGCTATAAAGATTTCCTGCCTGCCTACTATCAGCCCGAAGTACGATAAGTAGAGCAAGCTCAAGGGGCTGTAAAATAATCAGAGAGTTGCCATTTCAGGTGATCCGTGCCCAATCTTCGGAGTCGCCGCGTACAATGATGTCCCTGCAAATGGTCTTGGCCGGACTCTTTCCCCCGGAGAACACTCCCATGGAATGGAACCTGATGCTCAACTGGCAGCCCATTCCCATTATGATGGAACCAGAGGAAACCGATGTGGTAAGTATTATAAAATGTATTAATTACAATGAGTCAAAATCTCTCAAGTATGGAAATTCCTTGAGCGTTCTAAACTGTGCTCACATAATTTTTAATTATGAATCAAAGGCATAAAAACATTTTTTATCTTCCGAATACAATAATATACAATGTCCCTATATATAGAGATATATATATATTTAAAAAATACATTTAATAAACTCACACAAATGATTCTTTAAAAGGGAATGATGACTACTTCAAAGATTTTGACTCAACTTAATACTTAAATCTATATAAAAACACCCTTTTAAACTATATTCCATTTATAGCGCATAAGAATGAAGGCCCCCTGTCCTCGATACGATGAGGCGGTTTTGGAGGTGATAAACCTTCCCGAGGTTAAACAGCTGCACGCCGAGAACTCTGAATTGCTTCAGGAACTGACTAATCTCACTGGGCTCAATGTTACCCACACCCATGATGTTACCAATATATTTATCACACTGCAATCGGAGCAAGCTTACGGCCTGGAGTTGCCCTCGTGGACCAAGGACTACTATCCGGAGAAGATGTTACCCCTAGCCGGAAAGTCTTACGTCTACGATGCATATACGACCGAGTTACGCAAAATGAAAGGAGGCTTCTTCTTAGAGCTCCTTTTAAAGCAGTTGCAGGACAAGATCTCTGGAAAGACACGACCCAAGGATCGCAAGATGTTCCTTTCCTGCGGACACGACTGGACCATCACAAATGTGCTTTCTGCCTTGAATGTTTGGGAGGCTCTGATGCCACGATTCTCAGCTCTAATAGCCTTTGAGTTGCATCAGAATTCAAAAACAGGAGAGTATTTTCTGGAGATCTTCTTCCAGAACGATCCCGAAAAAGAGCCGCAGCAGTTACAGATTCCTGGCTGTGAAAAACAGTGTCCCATTTCGAAGTTATTGGAACTAACCAAGGATATAATTCCTGATGCTCCCTATGAAGAACTGTGCAAAGCAAAGGGAACTCTAGAGGGAGCTAAGATCAGCTATAATTACTAAGGAATCCCGTGATTAATAATCCAGTATGCAGTATTAATGATAATAAAGATATACTTATATGTGAAACTATTTGATATACTTTTAATATTATTATTTGAATGATTGACTTTGATGTATCACTTACTAATTACCTTTTTAGGGATGTTGGCGGTATGTAATGTGTATTGAAAATTATTGGAAATTTCTTAGATAACGACTAATTTTTAGACATAACAAACATTAGAAAAATTAAATAAATAAATAAAACATTTTAGGTATCTGCAATATGTTAATGGCTTAGTAGTTTAAGTAAAGCATACTTTTAGGCGACGTTTATTCTAAGAAAGTTTCTTGGTTAGAAATACTATTTCGAATGTTTGGGAAAACTAATGGAAAATAAATTTAAATTGATCAACATTCTAAATTTACATATTCGCAACCTTTCAAATTATTGTTACATAGTTCCACGGAAAAAAGGTACCTTGAGTTCCAACAGGTAATTTTAGAACACAAGCAACGGGCTTTTCAAAAACTTTAAATTTTTGAGTGAAGTGATCGGGCTTCTGATTAGTATATTTCTATGTTTTAATATCCATATTAATCATTTAATTGGGGATAAGAAAAAACTTAATCATCAATAAATTATCGTGAATTTCTGGACCGACCCTCTCCTTTTCACTCCTCACATTCATCAGACAAAAAGTGTTCGGTATTACTTAAATTCAAACAGTTGACACTCGAGGCTCCACTCACTCGAATCGGAAGTAACTCACAAAAAAGCACGACGAGCCCAAACAAAAGGGCAGTATGTAACTTTCCACATGGACATCGCTTTACAAAAACTTCCGGACTATGACGAGACCGTAATCCAAATCCAGTCCAGCCCCAAATGCAGTATTTAAATTCGGCAATTAAGCAACGATATGGATAATTTGAAATTAACATATTGCCTGATCCAGAAGCTAAACGATTTATTACCAATGTGCTTACACACGCAGTTTCGATGACAAATTCGTTGGTATTTCGAGTTGGCGGCGGCGCTAACAGGAAAAAAATAAGCAAGCGGAGCAAATCCGAGAGTTCATATAAATTAAAAGTCGCGGGCGCGATTAAAAACGCCTCAAACGGTGCGGCATTGTGTCGGTGTCTGGGGCTTCTGCTCGGTCAAACATATATTCGTACAATAGACCTCCGGCCACAATAACAAATGGAATAATAGAAGTGAAAAGAGCTACGGTGACGAAAGCATTTGGCGATAATGGAACGATAAAAGAGCCAGACACTCATGGCTTTTTCGACTTTTGCAATGATATTTCCCCCGCAGTCTGGCCGAAGATAGTGCACAAAGACAGTCGCGTGCGACCCTCGGAAGAGTCCAAAATTTAAATATTACATAGCGCCTATCAGCATAGTATTTAGTCCACGGCAAACAGAAGATAGTTGTGGCACTGCACTGGGAGAAACCAGTGCAACTAACAAAGGTCGCGTGGAGCAAAAACCCGTTCACCGCGTCTGTAAATTAGCTAGTCTCGTGGTTAATTAAAAGCACACAAAAGTAAGTCTAGACAAAGCGAAGAGCGAGCACAAAAAGTTAGTCTTCGATCTGTCAGAGACTGTTGACTCCCAAAAACCGGAGCGAGACCGTAGAAACAAGCCCAAAGCGGAGTCGGAGAATCCGATCCCCCGACAGATTCTACGGCTATAAAGCCGGGCCGCCAAAATGCCGCGTTCGCATTTCACTCGAAGGCATTGTATAGCGATGACGGGCGGATTGATTGCATCGGCGGTTCTAATCTGGTGCGTCGCCCACTCGGCGGTCGAATCCGCGGCCAAGCTCTACGATCCCGGCGCTGATAAATCCACGCTCGAGCTGCTGCATGTGGTAAGTCAGTGTGCGAATCGCAGGTCGGATCGGAAAACAGTTTAGTACTTGAATCGCGGAACACTTAGCAGCTGTGCGGCCCAGCTGGATGTGATAACTACACTCCCCAGAAAAAAACTTCGTAGTGCGAAACGGCTATTAAAGGGCCATTATCTGTTATCAAGAATAAAGTTAAAGTGGCGATGATTTTATGGCAGTTTAGATTAGATCCTCGGATCATAAACAATGACATACCCATGACAATTCAACCAATGATTAAGAAACTTAATTGTGGTGTTATATTTGTAAGCCATATATTACGTATCTAAATTAACACTGCCAAATCCAGAGTCATCTGTACTATAAAAATTCAGCTGATAACAGCAGTTATTGCATTAATTTTTGAACTTGTTTACCGCATTGAGAAACCCCTGGCATTGACATTTGCGTAGGCAGTGAGACAAACATTCTGTTGATAAAGCATTTGTTTATAAACGTTAAACGTATCTAGCGAAAGTGCAAACGCAGGCACATTTTTTGTTGTGGTGTGTAAACTCATAATTATGTATGATTGTACTACAGTTTAGTAGACTGTCAGCTCCGGTGGCAGATAAGATTCAGTCTGGTCACTTAATCGGAACCATCAGTACGCAAAGCGAACTCGTTCGATAAATGCTTGACAGTACAGCTGGTGGTTTTTCCAGCAGCCTAGTCTCAGGTTTGCATTTCCCTCCTTTTATTATATCAGCTGTTCGAGCCATTTGTCTGGCTCAATTCAATCAGATAATATGTACATATAATTGCCGTCAATTACACTACGAAAAACACTCGAGTGCAGCCAGGCGGCAAGTTCAACGGAAAATGTTTCTCAAGCACTCAATAATTTATTGTATAACTTCAGTTCAAAGCGAGTTGGTTACAAGAAGTTTGGGCTGACCTTGGAAAATAAGTAAGGTGGCGATGGAAGCCTGAGCGAAATCCAAGCACAGAACGTCATAAATAATTATTTTATTTTAGTGCTATTTCTTTCTGTGTGATGCGCAATTACATTAGCCAATTATTTCAAATGTTATCTCAATTAACCTTGTAATAGATTAATCCAAGGGGCTTTACAATTTTATCTCGGAATAATCAGTAAAAATAATTATATATATAATATAAAAATTGCAGCGTAGAACATGTTTTACCGAAAAGTTTGCCGTGTTGTTATTGAAGGTCATGTTCAAAGTAGCTAACGCGTCAACAATTTTATTGAAAACAACCTGTATAGATGCCGCAAAAACTGTCACAATTAATACATTCTCCTAAAAAACTCTTACTTTAATTAACTTGATTGTATACTTCGCTAACTCATACATACGTCTTCCAAAGACCCACAGAAAAAATTAATTACAAATCAGAAATGAAAACAAAACCAAACAGAAACCGGCTCTCCAAATTACACTCTGCCCAAAAACCAGTCTGCAAACGTATAATAAAAATTCAAAATAAAACTGCGATTGCTTTTTGTTTGTGCTCTGATCATGCACGATCAAATAAACCCAATTACCGCAGTAATGTTACACACAGTTATGGAACTGTTACGATCCAGATCCCGGGTCTGACCTTTATGTGAGTGGCCGTCTTATCAGCACGGGAGAATACTTCCGCCAGAGTCTGGGGTCGCACGAGCGATAGAGTCTTACTAGACAGTCGCGTGCTGGGTTTCCTTGGGCCGCCAGCTAATTAAAGTGTTTCTGACCATCGATCGCCTGACACATATATCTGTGCATTTGCATACACTGCGGTGTGCAGGTGGTGAATCCGTTTGACTAATAAAAATTGTAATTGCCAAACTTCAGGTATTCCGACATGGACCACGGACGCCGGCGGATACGTATCCCAGGGATCCCTATGTAAATGAGACCTACTATCCCTTTGGCTGGGGACAAATAACAAATGTGAGTGGAGAAAAAGTTGTGCAGCGCAAACTTTTGCCTCGTCATCCCCGAATCCCATCCCCCGGCAAAGCATTTAAATAAATTGAAATGCAAATGTTTTGCTGGCGGAGCTGGGGGATCGGGCCGGCTGCATTAACATATACACATGCATATGTTTATGCAATTGCAAAAATGCAAGGCATTTATTATTTTATAACACTTCCCTCCATCTCTGTCTCGGACCACCACTCCTGCTGCTCCCCGGATCCGCACTTTCCCATTTCCCGGCCCTCTGCTGTTGTCTCACGTGCCATCCGCTCATGCCATGCAATAAATCAACGCTCCAGAATGGCAAACGCGAGCTGTTCAACATTGGTACTTGGCTGCGTAAGCGTTATGGCAAATTTCTGGCGCCCAACTACAGTCCTGATGTGAGTAAGCAGTCACTAACGAACCGACAAGGCACAACCCCATGCAACCCTACACAGAGAGAAATTGCACAAAGCTGTCGTCTATTTAGGATTATGTGACATTTAAAGAATTAGTTTACAGAATAGAGAAAGTTACTTTCCTAACTTACTTCCCTTGGATCAAATAACAGATATTTTTGGTTTATTGCTAATATGTTTTTTTATAACAGTTGCTAGTTAAAATCAAAAAGAAAATCTATAAAGACTATCATAATCTTCTGGATCCTAAAACATCTAATCTGCATTAAATATCCAATACTTAGCAGGTTTCAAACAATATTTAATAATCAATCCGCTATGTCCTCGGTAACTTGAGATTTCTTTATAAAAACGAGTAATGGATATAAGTATAACCTCTTTTTTGGGTTAAATATTATTGTTTGATATTAAAATCACCTGAAGGTACTAATATTCTGCTTATTTTAAAAGTGAAATTTAAGTTCCAATCGATTTATCCCTGTGTACCCTACCATACTCCCATACCATCACGTCCACGGGGTGGTTGCCTGATAGTGCGGACGTTTACAAATTGCAAAGCTCAAGCGCGCTTGGCTCATCACTCAATTCCTTCTTTTCTCTTTCTGGTTCTGTTCTGTTGCCGGCTCTGCGCTTTCTCCTGCTCCGCTTTCTCCGTCTCCGCTTTCTTCCCTTCGCTTCGACAGTCGGTCCACGCTCAGGCGACGGGTGTTCCGCGGACTCACATGACCATGCAGACCGTTTTGGCCGCCTTCTTCCCGCCAAAAGGCACCGACATGGAGTGGAATGGCCGGTTTAATTGGCAACCAATACCTGTCTTCTCCCAAGAACTCAATGAGGATACGGTGCGTATACTTGATAGCCGAAATGATTAATCGAAACAACAGCCTCCACGGAGGGTTGAGCTCGATTAGTGATTTGACTGAGATTAAATATGAAATAGATTGTCTTAATAACGCAATAAAAGTATACTTGTGTATACATTTATTGTGTCAAAATAGTAGTAATGTAGATTTTGACGTAGAATAAATTGAGATCTATTGCAATTTTATGTAAATTATTTCATTCTTTGTTGTTGCTTAAAGTTAAATCTAACTAGAAAATTTAAATGCTTATATATTCCTACCTATTAATATTACAAGATTATGCTTCAGTATTTTTGAAATATTTAAATTTTTGCGACATGAATATCAAAAATTAAAGATAATAACTCCATTTAACCAATGCCATTTAAACATAAAATTAAATTTTTTACAGCTCCTGCTGGTGCGAAAACCCTGCCCGCGGTATTTCGAGGCTCTGAACGAAGTCTACGAGCTACCGGATGTAAAAGCAGAAATCGCACCCTATCTTGAGATGTTCAAGGAGCTGGAAGAGCATACGGGACTGAGCTTCAAGGAGCCCGAGGATGTGCAGTCCCTGTACTTGACTCTGCTCGCGGAACAGGAGTGGGGTCTAGAACTGCCTGAATGGACGCATTCCTACTTCCCGGAGAAACTCCAGTTCCTGGCCGAGCAGAGTTACGTCTACAATGTCTACACGCCCGAGATGCAGAAGATCAAGGGAGGTCCGTTCCTGAAGAAAATGCTCGACGAAATGCAGCAGAAGAAGAACGGAACCCTGAAACCCAGTGGCAGAAAGCTCTTCATTTACGCGGGTCATGACTCGACGGTGGTGAACGTTCTTTCTGCCCTGAAGGTGTGGGAACGCCAGATGCCTCGCTACTCGTCGATGGTTATGTTTGAACTGCATAAAAGCAAGGAAACTGGCGACTACTGGGTCGAGATCTACTTCCGCAACGACCCCACAGGTCAGGCTCAAAAGCTCACACTTCCTGGCTGTGAGTTCCAATGTCCTCTGGACAAGCTAGTGGACTTCGCCAAGGACGTTCTTCCCACGGAAGAGGATGACAAGCGGTGCGAGTCCCGAAATCAAGGCTTCACAGAACCACCCCTCCGAGGGCCATAATATCCACAATTTGGTGGATATAGGAGAATCGTTAAGGTGCTACACATCTCAGGGAGTGGGACTGTCAACAGTCCTCGATTAAGGTGTAATTTTCTAGTTAAGTCAGTCATTTAGCCTAGACCGAATAAAAATAAGTTTACTTTTTGTATGTCAATAGACATTATCGATTCGATAACTTATTGAGATATTTTTTGGCTCCAATTGTGATGAGGAGTAATGTATTAAAAAGTGAACGTTTAAAATTACAAATTAAAGATTAAAATGAATATAATTTTTTTAACTATGGTTTTTGTCTGGGAAACCAACTAGTAGATTATTTTAAAAAACCCCAGTGATAAAAACAAAATTGCGACCTGGGCAATAAATGTTTGTGATATAAGACAAATTTTACAAAGCATCGATCAAATGTACTCGTTATTCTTAGATTAATAGAGTACGTTTGGTTGGAAAGTATGTAACCGTTAGTTGAAATCGTTTCCGTGTCTAGGATCACTAGTCGAATCGCCCAGCTGAGTAAAGGGTATGTGATAGTCGAGGCACTTGATCTCTTTTACTTTTTACAACATTCATCCAACTAATTAACCAATTTGAAAGAGTGCAGCGCAAATCACTACAGTTTTGAAATCACTTATACCGTATTTTTAGGTGACTAACAGTATTCAGCGAATAAAGGGTAGACGTCTCTCTGAATGAATTCATTGTACTACTGAGTTTAAGACACAGTGTTGCATACTTTTAGACTCTATATAATAAAAAGTTATTTTAAAACCTTGTGATCTGTGGGACACCCCCGAATGTCTACTTAAAAATAACTTTACAGGTGTTGGAATTTTTTCAACGTTCCCCAGTTAACTTCTCGACCATCCGCCCAAAGTGCGTCTCGTTCTGACCGGAGCTTAAGTTCCCCGTTCGTCGACATTCGGTGTCGGATATTGTCAGCCGGCGTCTTTTGCGCCCCATGTGGCAGCCAAGTTGGCTCATTTCCGCTCTGTGGCGACAGTCGACTGCCGTCATTGCCATTGCCCAATAGGCCGCTTCCGCCTGGCCTTTGCCAGCGGCAAACGCAAACAACTTCCGCACTTGTTTAGCCAGTTGGATGCGCCACTCCATCTTGGGCTCCACTCCGGTCCCTGCCCCTGCTGCCCCTCCTGCCACATCCACTTTTCCCCGTCGCCCCGCTCATTTTTGCCGGGAGGTGACATTTTTCGCATTGCGGTTTACCATAAACTATTTCATTGGGGAGTTGTTTTCCACCTCGCCCATTTCTTTCTGCCCCCACCATCTGCTCATTCGCCTGTTCGCCATTGTTTACTCGTGTGCGTTGCCATCTCTCTCCAGTTTTCCCGCTTTCCTCCGCGTCTGTGTGTCAGTTTTTCCTGCTCCGTGTGTGCTGGTGTGTGCATATCTGTAAACTTTATTTGTCAACGGGACGCATATGTTGTGTGTTTGCCAAAAAATAAACGAATCCCCTTGTAGCAAGTCGGGCATTCCCCAATTGCATTCAGCTCGTGTGTTTGTTGCTGCTTTTAATTTTATCTTAATTTGATTTTCCGGCGGTGGGGGAGTTGTATGTGTGTGCGTGGGCGTCTGACAAATCTGTGAGTGCATGTGCTCAGCTTGTTCTACTCGGATGATTAATAGTGAGCAGGGAGAAAGGCTGCTGCCGGAAGTAAGTATACGCCACGTGGGCACCGACTTTGACTGGGTGCCCACGATAAGGAAGATGGCAGCCAGGAAGTCCGGCCACTTGATGTGATACTGGTTGCAGAAGTTTAATGACAAAATACTATACAACACAATCTTTTAATAGGCATTGTTAAATTCAAAGGAAAAGAAACTAGATTTATTAACAAATTGTTTTATAAATTCGATAACACCCGAAAGTTGACTACAAATCTAGCGTCAATGCATCACTGTAAAAACGACGGAAAAATGAAAATAAATATCTGCATATTGAATTCAAAGATTCGAATAACTTAAATAACAAATTATTAAACTTCTTTAGTTAGTTTGAACATATTTTAAAAAAACTCAGAAAATATTTGATATGTTATTCATATTTACTTTAAATATTTTCTGTAAACTAATCGATGTTTTAAATATTCAATCAACTATGATTATTAAATGAAACTTCTCCATAACTTAAAATATGGGGTAAAGGGGTATATTTGTGGCTGCTGCAGGTTTAATGCTGAATTGTATTGCCCTCATTAATACCTATCGATTGACCCAAAAAAATGTTACCACACCCACTCTAACGCTCGTAACGCTTAAATCTGTCTAACGCCCACATAACCATATATTGAGATCGCGGTTAGGTTGCGCACTCCAATCCCGCTTTGCTGCTTGAATATCACCATTTCCCTTTGGTCGGGTATCTGATAGTCGAGGTACTTACGCCCCGTAAATTACTATATTAATTATTATGATACCCAATTCCTTTAATAAATAGTAAGACAATCCAATTCCTTAAGTACAATGTTTTTAATAGTCTGTTATAAAAAGTTTCTATTAATCTTTTTGAGTTGATGGAACATTCTCCTCAGGTAGGTCCAAATTTGGCAGCTTTCCATCATCATCCCCGAACATTAGCCTCTCAATAAGCTCCATTTGCGTTTGCAGAATCGCGCCCATGGTTATGGTTCGCTCGATACGCTCCCTATATCTTAATTGAAGAAGTTCCTCGTCTCTCCGCTTTTCGGGGATCATTCTAGGGTAATGCTCCATTGTATTGATCATTTCAGCCATTCGCTCTTTATGCTTCATTTTTCGTTCGATATTTTCTGCCACTGTTCGATTTTTCCGATAATATCTCTTCTTTAAGTGAGCCACCTTTAGAGTACGATTAATACAATCGGCATATTCCACGCGAAGAAATTCCCAAAACGATATGCGGTGCAATACTATCCTATCCCTGTTCGCCTTGGCGATTGCCATTTGATCCCTCATCATGGATATAATTAAATTGATCAGCAAATACTTGACCACGAATCCCATTATGGCATATAATATAATGCCCAACAGCTCTCCACCGAAAAACAGATCTGGCGGCTTCATAACTTCAGTAAAGCCGAATGCAAAACAACTGACAGTTACAATGCCCTTGGTCAAGTCCATGAAGGTGGTGATATGATTTCCGTTAATTGTGACGGTGGTAAGGGCAATGGCGACAATGAATATGATGGTTACTACCATTGTCCAAATAAGCGATTGCCATGCCATAGAAAAGCTTTTAGTGAATAACTGAAAGGTGCCGGAAAACTGCAACACCTTCCAAAGTCGCATGGTGACCAGAGCTATGGAGAAACCCTTTAGAATATCCGCGTAGTACGTGAGTCGCTCAGGTTTTCGAAAATCTATAAACTCAACCATCACGCAGATTTCAATATTTTGTATCATTGATTGAACCAAGTTATCCCGGACCGCTAAAATTACAGAAACCATGAAAGTGAGTACTATAATCAGGGCATCCACCTGGATCCACAGGGTTTTTAAGGCACGAGGCTCGAACCAGACCTTGACAAAAAACACCTTGGCGAACTGCAGCCATACAATAACGAAGATAAACAACACAAGCATTCCAAAACCAGACAAACTTCGCATTTGCTCCACGAAAATCTCACTATCGATATCCAAATGAGAGTGGATGTTGCCGAAGGGAAATTGCTCTATCCACAATCTGCACACGCTAAAGATGTTTGCATCCGCATTGTACAGAGTGAAGTCTATAAATAGAGCACTCGTTTTATAATCTAGCCATTTTTTCTCCTTCAAGTATTTAAGAATCATCTGACTTTTAGTTCGGGTGTCCGAGAGAAGTGATTGGTATCCCTCCGTTTCCGGATAAGTAATAAAATCTCCATGGTAAGTGTCGCCCAAGACTTTCTCTTCAAAGCTGTAGACCACCGACAGCCAGGGCTCGTAGATCGGCCAGTATTTATCCGTATAGGGGACCCTTTTATATGGCAACCAACCTTCCGAAAAGTCCTTCTTAGTGAAAACCGGCTTGCTTAGACCTACGCGGCTGTTTTCCGTTCTAAACTGCTTTAATCTTACCACACCCAACATTCGGACTGGCTCCGCATGAATCCAAGGCGCCCCGTTTCCTGTGTTGCTCTCATCCGTAAAGGCCATTATCAGGCAGAGCTCGATGAAGGTGTAGACTTCCGGTAGAGCTACCATTTGTGATAGTCCGACGTCATTTTTGCGGTCGAACGAGAAGAGATTCTCAACGGATTCCGTATTATAGTAAAGCAACTGATCGACTAAGACAATGGCCATGCCGAAGATCATTATAAATAGCATGCCTGTAAGAACAAGTTCTCCTTCTATCAAGCGGTACTGCTGGTTGAGCTTCTCATTTCGATGGCTTTCCGTAATCATCAGCTCACTCTTCAACGACCGAAGTCTTAGTCTTACCTTGTCCATAAAGGTCTCCACCTTGGCATTTTTATCGGGCGTCACAGGGGGCTGATGGTCTGGCCAGCAGGCTGCATCGACGGACATTATCGTGTACTTGATGGGCGTATAAACCACGATCTGTATTATCGATACTGCTAAGAAAGCCACCAGGATCATGTTGAATTTGGCGCCTTCATGGCTGAAGCCGGAGAAATTCCAGATACAATAGCCACTTACGGCTATTATTACCAGGGTCACATAGAAGATGGCGTTACTATCTTTCTTCCCCATTGCTTGAGTATTGTCCCAGATTCGGCTTAACCTTTGGATTCCTTTGTATACTTGGAAAGCACTGACTTGACAATGTACAACGGGGTTCCTTATGCTGCTTAAGTTTTTTAACAGCTTTTTCTTTTCAAACAAAGGCCTAGTATTCAACCTAACAAAAAGTCGTCCAAAAACCGAAAATTTCATATAAAAAACAAGGAAGAACGCTATAGTCGAGTACCTCGACTATCAGATACCCGTTACTCAAAGGGAAATGGAGATATGCAAGCAGCAAAGCGAGATTAAAATGCGCCACCTACCGGCGGTAGACAGATTTAAGCGTTATGGGCGTTAGAGTGGGCGTGGCAAATTTTTGGATCAATTGATAGGTATTGACGACACCAATACATTTCAGTTAAAATTTTTTATCTGGTGGTCGTCAATACCTATCGATTTATCCAAAAATAAATTTGCCACGCCCACTCTAACGCCCATAACGCTTAAATCTGTCTACCGCCGGTAGGTGGCGCATTTTAATCTCGCTTTGCTGCTTGCATATCTCCATTTAGCTGAGTAACGGGTATCTGATAGTCGAGGTACTCGACTATAGCGTTCTTCCTTGTTTTCATATACAATTTTTGGTTTTGGACGACTTTTTGTTAGGTTGAATACTAGGCCAAAATTATGAGTTTTGAATACAACGTTTATTAATTTTTGAAGTCCTTAAAAGCATTTTGTTGCATTTGTAAAACGTAGCCTTAAGCATTTGTATTTACCCAACAAGCACACAATTGTTGTCTATTCGTATTTAAGGTCAACGTGTTTCATAAAAGTAGTAATTATTTGTTTAAAGTTTTAGATTTATAGATATTTTCTTTTTGCATATACCACTTTCCTTTATATTTTCACTTCTTTTCTTTTTATTATATGCAATTTAAGGACTCTCTCTATGTCCACATTTTGCACTTTGTTTTCTGCCCCCTAAATTCCATGAAATATTCACCTCTCTAATCCCGCATCTGATATTCCCAGGCAGCCCTAACTCGCTTTAATTTCACTTGCTGCTGGTAGTTAGTTAACCTTGCATTTCTTTGTCCTTGTCGGGTGCAAGCCGGGTACAAATTATTGTGCTATCAGTGGCACTTCAATGGGCTCCCAGCAGTTGCCACTTAGGGCGGCCGACAAGTGCAGCAGGTCCACCACCCCGTCCTCAGAGATACGACCCCGCCCTCTTGGCATTCCAGCACTGGGCTCTGAGATCTGGGGCTGGCAATAAAATTCGTAAACCTTTTTTGACAAATGAAACGTGCAACAAACAAGACGCCCAAGCGGCTGCAGGCGGCCAAGTAAGTAAGGAGGATGCGTCCTCATCAGCCAGCAGGCAGGATACAGGACCTAGGACCTAGGAGCCGGTATCCAGGACCCAGCACCGAGAGTGTGGGTATGAGCCGAGCTCCAGTGCCAACAAAGATTTATGCATTTTACAGGGCAGACTACGCTTTATGCGAAACTAAACGGCAAACAGTTTGAGTGAGGAAAGCTTTCACTCTCTTTCCAGAGAAAGAAAATGTGAGGAACTGTCTGCCTTCCAAGACTTGTAAGTTTGCAAGCAGCAAAAAAACGTTTGTAATGAATTTTTAATGTTCTGTTTAGGTAATAGGCATCTACTTATAGAGGGAATATTTATAGAAAGCAACTTATATTGAAAATATAAATAGTAACCAAATAAAAAGAAATGGTCCAAACAGATTTTAAAAATGCAATAGATCGGTAAATGTTTGTCTTCTATTAATTTGGAATCATGTGACCACAAATCAAATTTCTTCATGTGTAACGTCCCTTTAGTCCTTGGGGAACCGGAAATGAAGCATCACATGCCCATGCTCTTCTTGGAGCCGGGGTTTCAGGGGAGGAAGTCCATTGTGCCTTTTAATAGACTGAACTACACGGCATCCGACTCTGAGCGCCGGCATCCTGGCACTTTGTTTGCCGGCAAACATTTGTGCAGCTTATTAATATGCATTCCACCCCTCCTCGTTGGGATTAGCCGGAGGAGCAGGTGTGTCGGCCCACCCACAGGGTGGCCACCTGAATTCCGCAGCCCCTCGCCAATCGGAACATTTTATCTCCTAGGCCAAGCGCAAAAGTTTTAGCTGTTCTCGGTCCGTATCGAAAAGTCGTTAGTAAGCTGACCGCAGAAAGATGTGAGGCAAAAGTGCAGCGGCTCAGAGGAAACTTCGGGCCCAACTGGCCGCTCCTATTTCTTGGGTCTCAGTGGCAATGGGAGCAAAAAATGGCCAACTTCCCCTAAGACTTGCACTTAGCCCGCACAAAAGTTTGGTCGCCATTCCAAACTTTTCTGACTGAGCCGGAGATGAAACTGAAGCCAAGGCTGAAACTGAAGCTTCAGTGTGCTGTAAGTGGATTTGTGGACCCGGCATCCATATGTCTCATTTCAGGAATGAGAGAACTGGGGAAATGCAGATCCTCTGCCCTGCATAATAGGGTTAAAAAATGTGCTAAGCACTTTTAATTTAAATTCATAGCGTTCCCCTTAATTAAGTGAGTGAAATATAAACCTTTTAAGGGTCGCCTGATGCTTACAGAAAAAGAACATCCTTCTACATTTTGACGCAATGTAAGTTCAACGTAAATGTTTACTTTACGTTTAAAACACACTAAGATATATACCTAAAACTCTTTTTGATTCCACAAGAATATCAAAAATCACATCAAATATTTTGATGAGCGATACTATCGATATTGGGTCCAAACCATCGATGTTTTCTCTATTTTAAAACCATCAATAGTGCTATCGATTGTTTAACTTGATCAAATATTTTATTTTAATGCACGTGGCCTCGACTTGAGTAAAGAGGTAAAACCAAAAAGTTCTTGCTACTTTTGTACGTTTTTTTGACCCTTATTATCAAGCAAAAACACCTCTTATCGAGGTAAGGACAAGATGGAAGGCAATAACGAGTGCCATGACTATCACACACCCGTTACTTAACTAACCATTTTACCTTATTAAGTAATGGTCCGACTGAAAACATTTTTGACAATTGCTAACGCAGCAACACTGATAGTTGTTGAAAAACTTGACGCCTGAAAATTCAGTGCATTATTTTTTCTGGCACGGTGTCACGTCCATCGAAAATCAAAGTGGATGTCTTCAAGCAGGTAGGAATTGTACTGATAATTTTATTGAAAGCTGAATGTTTCTCGAACTTATAACATATGAATTTTCTTCAGTTTTGCGCTTTAGTGACTATTGAAGATCCAGAAATAAAGAAACCGGTCCAAACAGACACTTTCTTTGAACTTATTTTGTCCTGGTAAGCCATCTATAGTGAATTAGGTAAATAATTTAATGTTTTAAAACCAGTTTAGTGCCCCGACTCTAGATCCGTCGCCCAACAAGTAATGTCTTCAAGGTGTCGTTTTGAATTTCGATATCCAGGGGAACTCTGAACCCACGCATGTGAGCATCGACGAGACCTCAGTGCCATAACCAAATTATTCTAGGGTAGTCAAGATCTGTCGATTACACCCAAAATTCAAGGTAAAACATGAGCCAATGGTACGTCAAAACCTGCTGTCGATTTAGAGGCACCACTGATAACGGCACTGGAGTCGTCAAATGACCGCATCTTCCGACCGAAAAAGACCATTCACATAAACCATTACTGATCTACCACCTTCAGAGGAGCTAAAGGAGGACGTGGTGCCGTCGTCGGATGCAGAGTGGCCTCTTCGTTGAATGGAAGGTCAGAAGAAATTCAAACGTCCACCTCAAGAAGAGTCCTTGAAGAGTTGTGTATAATAATGAGCTTAGCTAGAGATCATGAAAGAAACGGGACGTGCTGTTTAGCCTGGTGAAGCCCAAAAATCTTACCATGTAGGCAAAGGATGTTATAAAAAAGCCTCATATGGTATTTTAAGAATTACCTGGTAAAGTCGATGAAGCGGGGCCGCAGTTGAGAAAACGTGTGCACGATAAAATGATTTCAGAATGTGCAAGCGCAAGGATTCGCTTTCACGTTTGGTGGGACGTTGAGGACTTCGAGGAAGTCATTGACCAACATATGACGGAGAATACAAGCCAGACGACTCCTGTCAAGTGGAATCAGCAATTAGGCGAGCATTTGGGGAGAACGTTGGTGCTACCACCCTTACCAGTTCATCTGGAGTAGTGCCTCCAGAAGATCATGTAAGGGCGGATGCACCAACGTTCACCCCAAATGCTTCGCCGACTTGATGTTATATGGCTCACTCCACTTGGCAAGGAGTCGTTTGGCTTGAGGTACATTTTTCCGTCATATAGTGGTCGATGCTTTCTTTTAAGTCCTCGACGATCTAAGACATCCTACTAAACGCCAAAGCGAGTCCTAACGGTTGTACATTCAAATGAAGTTTTGCAAACTGTTCTGCACCTTGCAAATAAACAGAAATTTGGATCTTGATATGGTTTCAAGAGCCTGGATAACACCGTTAACAGTAGCGACTATATGTAATAATGGTTTGTAAGCACATGTCGGGAACGTTCCAAGTGTTTTCCATGACCACGGATGAGGCAGTTATAGAAACCCCGAAGTCAAAAACAAACCGAAATATAATCCAGCCTGAGAATTACAACGAGAGAAATCGAAGAGAAAGGAAGAGGAAACACTTTAGTCGAGTGTTTTGGGTTGAGATACCTGTTATTTTGTTTCAAATTTGAAATAAAATACATTTTAGAGGCATATAGTTAGCCTGCTTAACAAAGTTAGTCATAGTTCTCAGCATTTATATTTTTATTTATTTAATTTTTACTTTTATTTAATTGTATTTAATAAAATCAATTTCAATTTCCACTTTTAAAAAATCTTTATAACGTGGGCGCTAGACATGCTTTAGCGTTATCGGTGTTTGTCTGCGTTAGAGTGGGAGTGGCACCCTGCTGAAAGAAACTTTGTCTTACTCGAGCTCTTGTAGTTTCCTATATATTAGCGTTCATACGGACAGACAGACACGGACATGGCTAGATCCACTCGGCTAGTAATCCTGATCAAGAATGTATATACTTTCCCTACTGTTTTAGTTGTAAAAAAAAAAACAATTTGTTGTCTTCAAGAAATAAATAAATAAAATATAAATAAAACTTAGCCCAAAACACAATGAAATATGAACGGTTTTTGCGCGTTGCCTGGTGCGATAAATCTGTGGTGAAGCCGTAGAGCTCTCGACTGCGATTCGAGCGGTAGTGAGTTCGATTCTCGCAGCGACCAAGAACAATTTCTAAAAAAGTAAGTTGTGTTTGAATTTTTATGTTTATTTTTCCGACACAGTGTTATGTGTATTTTCAGTTCTTGTGGTTCGAATCAGCAATTTAGCAAAGATGCGTTGAGCGGGCGAATATAAGCTTACTCTTCTCACACTTTCAAAAATTCCTACCCATCGCCATTGATCCTCGTTTTAGGGCGATTTCCATGTATTTAGGGCGATTTTACCGTAAAATTTCTATGAGTGCAATAGCAGCAAAATCAGTATATATATACATATCTATGTATAAGTATATGTATAAATATCTATAGATAGTTACTGTCGTATCCCGTATCCTGTATTTAAATATAAAAACATTTTTCTAAGAATAAAAAAAAATTAAAAGTAGACATCGCAAATTTAACCTACAACTTTTTTTTTTAGTTTTCACGCTTTAAATAATTCATTTATTTTAACAAAATTGTAGTATTTTGTTTTACTTTACTTAACAGTAATCTAATAAGAATTTTTTCTCATCAATGTTGCATGGTAAGCATGAAATGTTTTTCATACTGAACTGAATCGGCTAGCACTTTTATCGCTCAATAACTATCAAACGGTAGTTTTTATGACAAAAAGTGTTATAAATCAAAACTTGAGCAATCTCAAGGGCTTTAAAGTTTAAAATTTGCAAGGAGATCGTTAGAACCAATTTTGAGTTTTTTTTTGAGTAAAAAGCGTTTTGGTATAACTTTAAATATATTACATTTGGACAATTAACGCAAATGCAGATTAGCATTTTGAATTACCTTTTCAGCGAATCAGAACGTATCTGCAACGTTAGTTGTTTAGAAAATATAAGCCTTTAAAATCGGTTTTTTTTGGATTTCCCGCTAAACTAACGTGTTTTTTTTAATTTTTTGTTTTTTAAAGGTATTAATAAAAAAACAAAACCCCATTCACACTTTTACACAAAAATTACAAATGTGGGCGTCAGACAGATTTTAGTGTATGGCCCATAACTTTTGTTAGGCGATAGGTGTTGACGAAATTACAAATTTGATCTAGTACCAAAGCAGCAAAAGGAACCCCTATGTACGTTGTCAAAGAGGTACTTTCCGAAATTTATAAAGGGAAATCAGACCTTAAAGTTTAACCGTTAAATAGAAGCAAGCAATGACAAAAAAGAATAGTAACGTCATTTTCTATATGACCCTGGTAATAATAGCCCTATGTGGCCTTTGCATTTGGAATTTCTCTGGCTTTAATCATGAGGATGCCAAGTTCAATATGATCCTGGTGGCGTTTTTGGCCGTGACGTTAATACAGATCCTGGTTTTTACGCCAATTAAGAACGCGATAATGGCCATGGATAACGCTTGCTGGCCAGGTCATCAATCCCCTGTGACGCCCGATGAAAATGCCAGGGTGGAGACCTTTCTGGACAAGGCAAGAATTAGACTTCGGTCGTTGAAGAGTGAGCTGATGATAACGGAAAGCCATCGAAATGAGAAACTGAACTTGAAGTATCGGCTGATAAAGGAAGAACTTTTCTTAACAGGCAAGCTCTTCATATTGTATTTCATTTTGTCTTTGGTGTTATTTAGTGAGTTGGATTACTATAATAACAAATTCACGAGGAAAATTTTCATGAGAGACCATAGGTATTCGGTCGGACTATCAAATTTGGTAACCCTGTCGGACGTATATACTTTCCTTGAGTTTTCCCTGATCGTGGGCTTTACGGATGGAGACAGCACAGGTCTCGGAGCGCATTGGACTCATGCTGAGCCCGTCCGAATGCTCGGCGTGGTAAGATTAAGGCAGCTGAGGACGGAGGACAGCCACGTAGGTCTGAAGGATCCCGTTTTCACCAACGAGGACTTTTCGGAAGGTTGGAGATTGCCATATGAATGGATTCCATATACCAACAAATATTGGCCGATCTACACGCCTTGGCTGGGGACGGTTTCCGGTTTTCGGGATAACTTAATCATGGGCATCAATCATCATGGGCATTTTATTAAATATCCCGAAATGGCGGGATACAAAATCCTGCTCTCGGACACCCGAAATAAAAGCCTGATAATACTGTATTACTTGATGGATCACATATGGCTGGATTATAATACGAGTGCTCTATTTATGGACTTTACTATGTACAATGTGGACGCTAACATTTTCAGCGTATGCACACTGTGGGTAGAGCAATTTCCCTTTGGGAACATCCACGCCCATGCAGATATCGAAAGTCACATGTTCGTGGACCAAATACGAGAAATGTCGAGATTTGGAATGCTTGTATTATTTATCAGCGTTATTGTGTGGCTGCAGTTCGCTAAGGTGTTCTTTGTGAAGGTCTGGTTCGAGCCCCGCCTTTTAAAGACCCTATGGATCCAGGTGGATGCCCTTATTGTGGGACTCAGTATTACGGCTGTGATAATTCTAGCGATTCGTGATAACCTGGTCCAATCCATGATCCATGAAATCGAAATCTCCGTGATGGTTGAGTTTATAGATTTTCGAGAACCTGCGCGACTCACGTACTTTTGTGATGTTTTAGAGGGTTTCTCCATAGCTCTGGTCACAATGCGACTTTGGAAGGTGATGCAGTTTTCCGGTACCTTTCAGCTTTTTACCAAAACAATTTCAATGGCTTGGCAAGCGCTTATTTGGACGATGGTAGTAACCATCATATTTATTATCGCCATTGCCCTCGCCACTGTCACAATTAATGGTAATAACATAAAAATCTTTAGGGACTTACCCAAGGGCATTGTAACTGTCACTTCTTTTGCCTTCGGCTATAATCATGTAATGAGTCCGCTAGATCTATCTTTCGGTGGAGAGTTTTTGGGTATTATATTATATGTCATAATGGGATTTGTGGTCAAGTATTTGCTGATCAACTTGATTATATCCATGATGAGGGCTCTGATGTCAAATGCCAAGGCGAACAGGGATAGGAATGTATTGCATCGCATTTCGTTTTGGGAATTTCTTCGGGTGGAATATGCCGATTGTATTAATTTTATTTTGGAAGTGGCCCAATTTAAAAAGGGCTATAAGAGTCATAATCGGACAGTGGCCGAAAATGTCGAACGAAAACTGAAGTATCAAGAGCGAATGGCTGAAATGACGAATGGAAGGCAGTCTTACCCTGAAATGATCCCCAAAAAGCGGAGAGACGAGAAACTGATCCAATTGAGATATAGGGAGCGTATTGAGCGAACCATAACCTTGGGCGCGATTCTGCAAACGCAAATGGAGCTTATTGAGAAGCTAATGTTCGGGGATGATAAGGGAAACCTGCCAAGCTTGGACGTAGCTGAGGAGAACGTTTCGTCGACTTAAAACACATAACGGGGAACTATAAATCAGAAAAACAATTGCAATAAATTTTTACTTATCATACAACAGTTTTATTAATTGTCTTATCAATGCCATTGAGTTTAACTGCTTGTATCAGCATAAAAAGACTTAACTAAAGTCAATGCTCTAGTTTTTCGGTCGACTAAGATGGGTACTCTTTTTCGGGCATGTCAGATTAAAAACAGAAAGTCTAGAGATTTGTCTTACGCGAATTAACATCATA